ATTTGGTATTGGATCAACTAATAATCCCCTAATGATATTTTTCTTTATTCTCATCACTTGTCTGCTTGATATCATATTGATATTGTAAGGAGAAATTCTGCCTTGGTCACTCATAGAAGTTAAAGGGTTAAAGGAAAGATGATATTTCCCCTACATACACAAAATTTAAACAGCCCATAGACATGGACAACATTTTTCCCTCAACAGAGGCCATGAAGAAGAACAATACTTATAGTTTGTAAAAATTCTTTTCTTAGAATAAAAAGTCATAATTCTATTTTTTCTGTGACGAAAGTTTTTCACTAAAAGTGGACTATTAATTAGGTCAATGAATTTACCACAACTTTTTGCTTTTAACATATATAACAGCGTCAACTGGTGTTCTGTGTAACATCTTTTCTAGGTGGTGTAAAATGGCTGTTGGGGCAGCATTTGGAGGTGGTTTGAGGTAGGCAAGTTTTGTTGAAAAATGTTGTGTAGCAAAGTCTTTAACTGTAATGGAACAGACTCAAATATACAAGAAGAGTTTACACCGAAAGTAGGCAGATTCAACGTATCTAAAACGTCCTTGGGCTTAGCAGCCAAGCCTGCAATATCCATGGATACCCGGATATAGCAAAAAGAAAATGAACTGACTGTAGTACTCAACATGGTACAGACAATAGAACGTAGTGTTTAGAAAAGTTTTTTTTATTATTTTAGCCTTGACATTAAATTGTGGGTCATTTACTCTTTCCCCTCTAAGAGTGACTAACATCTGATTTCTCCTTACAATGTCCCCCCCTGAATCACGCATTGAGGTCAGGAGAATAAAGGAAATGACCACCTACTATAGAAGCTCTTGATTTTTAAACAAATTTTCCTTGTTTGCACCCGAAGAAATGTATGAAGAACAGTATGGAGAATATGCATACTGATATTAGGGTGTAAAGGTTTAAGTTGTTGCTGACTTAATGTTGCTGAGTGAATCAAACATTGGCTTCATCAATTATCTTTATTTTGTTCTGACTATCCAGTGTACAGTATAAGTTGGACTGTAGTTTTATAACAGTGCTGAATAAACTTAATTTGCACTCTTATAACTTTTTGAACCCTCAGTTTGCCCCTTGGAATTACAAACTTTCACAGGCTGGAAATTCAATTCTACCAGAGGAATACGATCCGAACAGAAAGTAACATAAGAAATGTAATGTTGAAATAGAGTAAGTGATGTTCTATTTTCACCCTAATTTAATCCACGATGATTTTTATTTTTATTTTTTTATTTGCTTTATTCTGTTCAAGTTAGTGATGGGTGGACTTTGTCTACTATTTATTCCACAGATTTTTTTCTTTCATTTACAAAACCTAACATTGTGACAACTTTAGTTTTGAAGGAGGCGGTGTGGCAGAGTGGTGCCCAGGGCCCTGGACTTGTATTCTGGTGGTCCTGGGTTCAAGTCCTCCTCCCTGCTAATTATAATGAATGAGGTTAATTATTATCATGTGATAAAAAATAATAATATATAAGATTAATCATTATTATCTAATTATTTATTATTTATTCTCAGTTGCCCAGAGTTCAATCAGATCATGGGAGTTAGAGGATAAATCTTAATTTTGCTTTTTTTTTCCTCAAGAAGGAATCAATAAAAAGATTAACATTGTCATTCACATACTGATATTAATATGTTGCATTTTTTTTAAAGTTTCTTTTCATTGAATTTTACTATTGCAGTACTCTCTGGAAAGTTTCTGTGAATTGCAAAAGACTGAGTGAAAATTTGAAATTTAACTTTTTAGGCCCCAGGGTTAAATATAGAAGAGGTTTGTCACTGTTAGATTATTCAGCATGGACAATTTGTTATCAAATAAGTTTGGTTTTACTCTGATCTTGTATTCATGTGGTTTCATTTCTCTTTTATTCCCAGCCGTGTCATGATTGCATGGCTGTGGAATACAAGTGCTGTTACAAGTGTTGTGGATGTGGAAGGGTAGGTTAATGCTAAAATCTTTAGTTTCGTATTCATTTTAATAAAGAACAATGTTATTTGTTGCTCACGAACGCGGAGGATTAACCAAGAACATCCGAGTCCCGCTCAAGGAATCGAATTCTAGATCTTAGAAATCGAAATCCTTAGATTTCGCGTTTCTTTGACCATTCGAGCTCGAAACCCGAAGATCAGGGAGACCTCGTGAAATCCGAAGTTCTGGAACTAGATTCCTTTTGAAATCCGAAGATCTGGGACTCGATTCCTTTCTAAATCCAAAGATCTGGAATTCGATACCCCGTGACATCTTGAGATCTGGGATTCGATTCTTCGTGAAATCCGGAGAGAGTAGATGTATTGATGTCACCTTCTTCTCCTATCTCCTTCATGCCATGTGGCACGTAAGGCCTCAACACAGTCCCGCCAACCAGCTCTGTCAGCCGCTGCGATTTGTACCTGACTCCGGCTCTTCCATCCAGCTTTTTCCCTTTCTTTCTCTGCTGTCTTCCTTCATGTTGTCTTTGGTCTGCCCTGTTTTCGCCGTCCTCCTGGGGTCCAGGTTAATACAGTTCTGCAGTCATTATTTGGTTCTTTCCTCATGATGTGGCCGATGTATTGATGTATTTACTAATATTTTTTGTTTGTTAGTTGCGTTCTTCTAGGTGTCCGGGTTCTGGTCTCGTTGAGGGAATGTAGCAGAGGGAGCAGTGTATTAACTTTATGGGCAGAGGTTGGAAAACGTGAGTGTACAGCTGTCTTGGTTTTCATTGGTTTGTTTGTTTATTTCGTTTCGTTTTCACAAAACAGTCGGAAGCGCGGGTAGACGCTATTGACCAGACTTGTAAATGCAGCACCAAACTTAGGGAAAGGGAATGTGAACTTTGGCGAGATCGAAGAACGAGAAAACTTCCTGAATGGTGAGCCAATAAGAAATTAAAGTAAAAACAGGCAAACCGCCTAAAGCGCGGAAAACTGCGGGCGAACAAGTCGTGATTGGTTTTAGTTTTGCATCCGATTGGTTGAGTAATGCGAATTTTTTGTACCAATCACAGAGAAGAGTAAAGCAAAATTAATGCAATCCTGGATTACTTATGACACAATTGAAAACTGCTTTATCACTTAAACCTTCTTGTTCTTACTAAACTACAACCATGTTCTCTGTGATTCTCATTAAGGTTTGGCCCATCACGACCTTTTTTAACCAGCAAGTGAACATGGGCTCGAAGATGCTTGGGGACGAACACAGCACCAAGTGGCCTGCCAAGAGCATTCTAATGCAGGTAGATAGATCTTGATTGTCAACTGCTGAAGGAAAAGGACTCTCCGAAGCGATCGTTGGAATTGAAGCAAACTTTGTTGTAACAACAAAAAATGCCAAAGGACAACAATGTTACGAAAAGCGTGACCGAGTAACTGTGCAAACAAAAAGCCAGCAAGGCCATGACTGCACGGAAGAAGTGCAAGTGAAAGATGGAAGCTACAAAGTCAGCTATTTCGCCAAAGAAACCGGAAGATGCCAGGCAGTAATCAAAGTGAACAAAGAAGAAGCTCAAGGTAGTCCTTTCCCGGTTCAAGTTTCACCCAGACAATTCAGACCCGTGTTATCTTTTGGACAACAAGGTTCGTGTCCTGGAATGTTAAGGAATCCCTGGGGATTGGCAGTGAATGAACGTAATGAAATTGCAGTGACTGAGGTGAATAGCCACAGAGTTCAGGTATTCAGTTGCGATGGAACTTACTTAAGATCTTTTGGTATCATAGGTGATAAACAGGGAGAGTTAAACTGGCCTGCTGGGATAGCTTTTGAGAAAAACAATAACATCGTAGTGGTGGACAATAATAACAACCGTGCCCAATTGTTCAGTGAGCAGGGTGAGTACCTGAGCCAGTTTGGTGGTTATGGAAATCTTGATCACCAGCTGTTGAATCCTCACGGGTTATCTATATAGAATGACGGAAATATAATTATTGCTGATTCAATCAACAAATTAATCAAGGTCTTTTCTCCTAAAGGCCATTATTTAAGTAAATTCGGGGGTGAGGGTTCTTTAAGCTTTCCCGTTCATTGTATACAGTGTGAAAAATATCTCATAGTGTCAGACTTTCGTGAACATTGTATCAAAGTGTTTGATAGAAATGGTAGTTTTTT